GAATTGCTACCTTTCTGATAAAGTTATACTACTTTTGGAGAGTTATTAAAATACTGATGAAGAAATGGAAGACTGATGTTCAAATTTCAGTTCCACCATGTAATAACTTTAATATATGTGTCTCAGTTTGCTAACACCAGTCTTCTTCATTGGTTACTGAAGATTAATTAATTAATACTTATAAAGTGCTAGGCAGCGTGTCCCTTTTCAAGTTAATTGATAACTTAAAAATAAACAAAAAGTCTTAACACCTCTCCAGTGACTTTTTTTACTAGTTTTTTAAAATTAATTTTTATTTAAATTAAAACAATCTTATTTTATATACCAATTCCAGTTCCCTCTCCCTCCCCTTCTCCCATCCCCTCCACAGTCTCCCCATCCCACCCCCCCATCCACTCCTCAGGGAGGGTGAGGCCTCCCATGGGGAATCATCAAAGTCTGTCACATCATTTGGGGCAGGATCCAGGCCATCCTCCATGTGTCTAGGCTGAGCAAGTATCCCTCCACAGGGAATAGGCTCCGAAAGCCAATTTTTGAACTAGGTATAAATACAAGTTTCACTGCCAGAGGCCCTATAGACTGCCCAGGACCCCCAGCTGACACCCACGTTCAGGGGGCCTGGGTCAGTCTTACGCTGGTTCCTCAGTTGTCAGACTGGGGTCCATGAGCTCCCACTTGCTCAGGTCAGCTGTTTCTATGGGTTTCCCCAGCATGGTCCTGACCTCTTTGCTCATCACTCCTCGTTCTCTACAACAGGATTCTAGGAGTTGGGCTAAGCGCTTAGCTATGAATCTCTGCTTCTGCTTCCATCAGCTACTGGATGAAGAATCTATGATGACATTTAAGGTAGTCATCAATCTCATCATAGGGGAAGGGCAGCCTCTCCACTACTGATTAGATTCTTAGGTGGGGTCATCCTTATGGATCCCTGGAGATTTCCCTAGGGCCAGATTTCCAATTAAGCCCATAAAGGCTCCCTCTACTACGATATTTCTTTCCTTGCTCTCCTTCTCTGTTCTTCCCCCAACTCAACCTATCTGATGACTTTTTAACTCTACAAAATATTTCCTCACAAATTATCAGAATGGATAAACCTGCTTATTACAAATAATGTAACAGCTAAATGTTTTCACTTACATCTTAAAATACTAAGATAAATTACAGAAATGTTGGGGAAATATGGTAACAGATTTTTTCAACACCTACTCAAAATCTGTTAATAAACTTTTAAAAAATCATATTATGAAAGTATACCAGCATGGTGCATGGATATCCAATCATATTTTGTTCATTCTGGTATCTCTGTGTGTAGATTGAAAAATAATTGATAAATTTGTTGCAGTTTTAATGAGACAGCATACTGTTGTTCACATATTGTACTAAGCAAAAATGTACACCGTCCTTTACTTTTTTAAAAGTTACTCCAGTAGGTTCTTGATCTGCCTCACTAAATAATGCCCTTTTGAAAGGTGGCACCAAATTCTTCTTCTAAAACACTGAAAGATGAGATTTAGGGCAATCCAATTATTCTTTATCTTCATAAAGGCTTTTTGCAACGTTTGGATTTCATACATACATTCACTACTATTTGCCTTTTCTTTGTGTGCTGTGAGGTCAGTTCACAACCTCTCATTTTCAGACAGAGAACTGGCCTATTTTACCTACAAGTAAAACTGGTGTTAGGAATGAAAAAGAATGTTTAGCTGATGAGATAGACATAGTGGAATCTCTCTAATCAGAAGGCCAAGAAGAGAAGAAAGCAAGGACTTGCCGGAACTGAATCTCTGCACTAGAGCATAAAAGGTATGGTGTGAGGGAATTAATCTGGTTGCCTTCCCTGGGACTGTAATAGGATCTGTTTCCAAGTGGAAAATATTGAGAAGGGCACTGACATTCCAATTCACAGTCACTTCCTTACTGATGGAATTATTCACCACAACTTAACAAGGTATGATATTACTATAAAATGCTGATAAAATCCTTACATCAAATTAACATTTTATCTAAATTGGAATGCAACATCTTTAGACTTCATGGAATTAGTACTATAGCAGAAACAGTGACCTGTGAAACTCAATGTTCAAACTTCCCCGTAAGTCTTATTGTATAAAAAACACCCATGTTATCCAAAGAATCAGGAAAAATGAAGATAACCATTTTATCACTAAGTAACATATTGATACCTGAGCCTGTGTTTTCAAGAAACTATAACATAAAGAAAAAAACCTTTCATTTTAAAATGAGCCTGTATAAATGAAGTTTCTTTACAAGGTTTTTGGTCTTCCTCAATAAGTAATGAATAATCTTTGGACAAGGGGCAACACTTTCTCCTCCTAGGTAACACACAATATTCTTAGCATTTTGGCTTGCCTTTTATTGCCTACTCGTTCTCTTTGTTGTTTCTCTAGTATACACAAGTCTGTGCATGTATGACAGAATGGAACACACTGTATATATAAATGTGTTTGATCGATCCCCACTCTTCTAAGGCTAAACCCAAACTCTCTACCAGCTAATCTCCTCTGAATCAAAGTGGCCTCTTGCTCCCTCTCCAGTTTCATCTCCAATTACCAATTTTGCTCTTGAATAGGCTGCCTGTCCCTCATCTTGAGATCTTTGTTCAGGCTGTTAATTATAATTGGAACCAGACTCTAGAGGAAGTTCAGTGATTAGATGGCTGTTCTGAGTTGTGATGATAACAAAAGTAGCCCCATTCACAGGTTATCAAAGAATACTGTTTTTATGTTACCTTTAGATGTTGCTGGAAAGAATAATATGATTTTCAGCTATTTAATGGGTTTAGATAGGACAATTTAGTCTCCTGTAGAGGAAGAGACATGGGGATATGGACCTGGGGGGAAGGAAAGTGGGCACTGAAGCTAACAGAACCCCAATCCACAGAAAGGAAATTTTTTTTCTAATCTAGATTTATGAGAATAGGAATGCTAATTTAAGATGGTAACCCCAAGAAACAGTTCATATAAAGTTCTTTTTTTTTCTTTTTTCTTTTGGTTTTACGAGACAGGGTTTCTCTGTATTGTTTTGGAGGCTGTCGGTCCAGCCCTGCCTCGAACTCACAAAGATCTGCCTGCCTCTACCTCCCGAGTGATGGGATTAAAGGTGTGTGCCACCACTGCCTGGCTCAAATATAAAGTTCTTAACTCTTTTACACCTTGTATTCTTAGATGGTATACCTTTTTAACAATATGGTAGATTTGATACTTTAAGCATTAAGTTCCAGTTCTCTAACTACTAATTAAAGATATTACATGTTTTTCAAGGTTTCTTATTGAATTTAAGTTTACCAATAAGGCTAGACTACCTGTCTAGCAAGCTATAGAGATCTTCCTGTCTCCATGGTTCCTCTGTACTAGGGTTATAGGTGTGTATTGCCATGCTTGAATTTTATGTGGGTACAGGGATCTGGACTCTGGTCCCCATTGTTGTACAACAATTATTTCAGTAGTGACTGAGCTATCTCCCCAGTCATGTTTAGTCAGTTTTCCATGGTTAAATGGAAGTGGAAGCTATGGCTCTGTTACTAAAACAAACTCTATTTAGCCCAAGCTGTATGGGAATGACTAACAAGACTTTCAGTTTCCACATGGCTAGTACTCTGGTTTCTCATAATCCATCTGGGATGGAATTAATGGTCCTGCCTTTGACCTTACAAGTGATGCTATTTCATTAGAAAACTGTCACATGCCAATTTGATCATGTTTTCAGCCCCAAATTCTTCAATAAGCTCTTTATTACTCTACATTTGTAGGTGCATATACTGACTCTTCATCATATAACAAACTAGAAATTCTGAAACTCATGGAGTCATCTGGGACATGTCATATCACACATTTGTGATGATCAGCATTTATATTCTCATTAAAATATCATTACTCATTAATTTTTCACTCTTGGCTCAACTGCTGCCCATGATGAAGCTTCTTATTTTCCCTGAAGAATAGGGTAACTTTTCTTGTGTCTATGCTTTTTGGCATCCTCCCATACATAAGTTCAATTATGATGGAAATCTCAGCATATCTACCCCATAGAATGCTGTGCTTTTCCATGTGCATGTGTGTATGCGCTCACTTGTGTGCATATGTGCACATGTGGAAGCTGAAGTTCGACTTCGGTTGTTTTCTTCTACCACTCCTCGTCTGCCATATTTGTAAACATACATACATACATACATACATTTATTTAGTGTGCTTGGTGTTTGTTGTGCACATATGTCTGTGTATCAAGTTATGTGCCTGGTGCTTGTATAGGCCAGAAGAGACTGTTGAAAGCCCTGGAACTGGAGTTACGGAAGGTTGTGACCATTCATCTTGTGACTAGTGCTCTTAAACATGGAGATATCTTTCTAGGCCCTTCACCTTACTTTTGAGAGAAGGTCACCCACAGAACATGGAACAGCTGATTCAGCTGGGTTGGTTAAGCAGTGAGTTGTGAGTATTCTTCTGTCTCTACTTTCCCAGCACTAGGATTACTAGATTATGTGATTACAAATGCCACTATGCCTAACTTTACCTGTGTGCTGGAAATCTGAACTCAGTCCTCACACTTGTGCAACAAACACATTTCCAACTGGATCATCTCCCTAGGCCGAATGGTGTGTTGTGTCTTTCCATTTTAATAGCACATAGTGGGTGCTCCTTTTAAAGTAGAAGCATGAAATATTCAACATTCTATCTCTAATCTGGATTTCTGGAGCTGCTCAAGTACTATGTATCGACATACGAATGAGTAATTACCTAATTACTTTTCTCTATCAATATCATGCCTATTAAATTATTTCACTAAAATAAAGGTTGCCACTAAATAGGAATACATTGATCATATGAGCTGCAAAACAAATCAATCCTAAATAATTTTAAGGTCAATTTCTAACGTTAGCCTATTATAAAAATCTTGCAAAGGGAAAAAAATCTGGATTTCATCAACAAAAGTAATTTGCCTTCCGAGAAAGGCTGTATGAAAGAGCTTTTTCTTTTACTTACATGATACAGTGTGGTTTCTGGCACTGGTGTGCCCATGATGTCTTGTCTCAACGCATCCATTTGCAAACTAGGTAGCAACGAGTAGTGAGTTGGGCTATTACTCTTATCACCCTTCTTTTTTGACTTCTTCCCTGTGTCTTTTTTGCTGTTTCTCTGAAACATGTATTCTTCTTGAGCAATTTTTTCATTGCTCATATATCGAAGAAGAGAGTTTTCTACATAAAAAGAGAAATACAGTGATATAAATATGCAAATATCTGAAATGTACCATTCTTTCAAAATTGTGCTATAAGATTTTATTTCATTACTTTAACTTGATTTAACTTACTATATATATGCATATATATATATATACACACACATTGACAACAGAGTGGGACTTAATTCTTTGGAACTATAAGGCAACAATATATAGCCTTTGTATTATTTCTCCTGGTTTTAATTCTGGAGTAACCACATCAAAATCACCTTCAGAACTTAAATTTTAAGCTCTGTATGGGTGGAACTTACAATTTGTAGCAAGTTCCAAAGGAAAATTACTCCTAAACCTTGATGACAAATAATAGTCTACAATATTTTAGGTAACATTCTTAGAAGTTAAAACCCATGTTACAAACTTAGTTTATAGAATCTTTCCTTAAATTAGTAGTAAATTAGTGGTTAATATAAAAATTTCATACAGGATATCACTATTATAAGAAGTCCTAAAGAATATCTTAGAGATGGCCTACGATAAGCATTTAAATTTTTCTTGATTTATACAATAAAACTAATGAGATTAGATATAGAAGCTTGGAAAATGGAATTAATATATGTATGTGAAGGAACCTGACAGTTTACTTTAACTTCTTAACATTTTGAAATGCTCACTCCTCAAAACAAGGGTTAAGGAGACTTACAAAGCAGACCTTTATGCTTGCTTGTCCATGTGGTCTGGATGTTTTAGAGTTCATTAGAAATAATAAGTAAATGGGTCAACTATACCATAAAGGAAGCTTAGTTTCTAGAACAGTTCTGGTTTTGTTGTCCATCTACAATTTGTACTCTCTCTTTCCAAAGCTGGGCCCATCATATCCAAACTTGGTTAAAGTCTACTAAGCTATGAAGGTTTGACTTGGTTAAAGTCTACTAAGCTATGAAGGTTTGATTTGGTTAAAGTCTACTAAGCTATGAAGGTTTGACTTGGTTAAAGTCTACTAAGCTATGAAGGTTTGACTTGGTTAAAGTCTACTAAGCTATGAAGGTTTGACTTGGTTAAAGTCTACTAAGCTATGAAGGTTTGACTTGCTCCTTATTGCTCACCTCAGCAACAGGCTACGTGAATGTAAAAACTTACTTTGGGTAGATACTTCAAAAGTAGCCCACTCCCATGTAAAAGAATAACACTGAATAGCAAACAACAGAAAAAGCACAAAGTACCTGTTCTCCCTTTTTTATATGGTTTCAGTAAAGAGTCACTGACCCAGTTTCCATTCTACATTTGTTTTAAACCTATGTGCTTCAATGCTCATTATGCGGTTTTACCATATGAGGTTTCGTGAATGAAGTGAGATGCACTGCTGATTAACTGGGACTGAAGACAAAATTGTTTTTCTATTTATTGAACTTAAATGAATTCTTTTATGCAGTTTCACACTTCTGACCTTGTTTTCAAAATATTACCTTTCAGTTTACAAACTTATTCATCTTTCTCTGTGTAATTATCTGCCTAGAGTCTCTTAGAAGGCATTCATATAAGATACCTATTACTAATGGGTCAAGACAGTCAAATGTTGGTTTGATTTCACTTAGTTTCTGCTGAAGCCATAATAATCTATTTAAAGAACATTTAATTTTGCTTATTGTTAAAATAACCCATCCTACACTGAAATTCTAGAACACTTACCTCTTCTACTATCTCTCTTCATCTTATTTGGATCTTCATAGTCCCCCACCCAATTATATTCGACTGGCATAGATATAGGTCGTAGCTTGCCTAAACACAGAGAACAAAGTTCACATCACATTGTTTTTCTTCGCCAGGTAGGCTTATACTTATACTGATTTTCAGCTACAGTATACAAAACACACTCTCATATGCAACATTACGGTTGGCACGTGTGGATGAAGAATATGTGTGTTTTGAGCCAGAAGGTGAAACTGCCTCTAAGAACTGTCCAGATAATACTACTTTAAATTACTTTTTATAGATAATAAAGAATACTCCATGTTTGCTCTGTTGGGAGTCCTGGATATTAAGGGTATATAATCTTTTACAAAAAAGATCACAGCTTCCATATTTCTTTTCATTTTAGTAATAGATTTCAGTCTTACTCCCTAATGTCTATGAATCTATGTCTTTACTATTCACTTCTAAGGTAACAGACTTTTGCATTTAACCTTATTTTTAGGAAATTAACCTACTGTCTCTGGTATATTATCACAAACTAACTTATATTTTTCTAAATCATAGCACCATGCATTTGGATTCTACCATGCCTACCAATATGGGGATTCTGTTTCACTGCCTATAGTTAAATCCAGACGTGCTTATTTTGATATAATAAGCTTGTGTAGTTTACAGAATCAAGTATTCACTTCTTTGTCCATTTTCCTTCTGGGTCTTTATATTCAGTGAAAACAACTTTAATTTAGCAAGCAGCAGTCCTAGCAAAGACTTTAAATATAACACCCTAGTATAGCAGTAATCAACTATTTTGTTCAACTTCAATTTCCTGAAGCACAGAATAGCCAATGAAAATGAAATTACCAAAAAGTTTAAAAAAGATACATCTGACAAGAGGCAATAGTTTAATAAATTCTGAATCAATGAAAACCAGAAATTTACACAGGCTCGGAACATAAAAGATACTAAGATAATCATAACAATAAAATTGCATAAACTCACAAACTATATGGCACATGCTTTCTAAGAGTTTTATAAGTACTGTATCACTAAATCCTTATGCTTATGAGTATTTACATTTTACCATGAGGAAACTGAGACCAGTTAAGTAATATGCTCAAGGAAACACATCTGGTAAATGCCTAATATAAGGATTCAAATCAAGGCATATGAATACCAGTTGTGACATAATTTTGGGTAGCATTACCCGCTGTCAAAGTACACTTAATACATTTCTAATACATTTCATACAGAACTGCAAATTCAGCAATCCTCTCCCTTTTAATCTTTCAGTTACCCTCTTGCCTCTCTTCACTGTATGAATTCAATTCCATTTGTCACTTAATTAGCATGTGGTAATTATGAAACTATGAGGTTTCATTCTGTCTCTACACATGTAGATAGTACATTTAGATCACATCTACTGTTCATTACTCTTATCTTCCTTTCTCCTTCTTCTGTGTCCCTAGAAATCACCCTTTTACTTTCATGTATTTCTTTTATGTACCACCCAAAAAATTAAGAGCTGTTGTGTGAGATTTTAATCTAGTTTTAAGAAAAATCTACTAACTCTACACCTTCGAATTATCTGTACAGATATAATTTCTTTAGTATGATTTGCTAGGTTATTTTAAAGTCTGAGCATAAACCAGACATGATAAATTAAGGGAACAACAATGTGGTATTATTTAAATTTTCAAGGTGTACAACTACAATGGTCACTTATGATTTTAACATTCTTATGTATTTTATCTCTGCTCCTTTTTCACAGAATGAATGAGTGAGATGATGTAGTTCAATATATTCTGTCCATCAAAGGTAGGGTAAGCACGTGAGGAGAAGCCTTTAAAACAGTGCCTATTCCATTGTTTTATGGATAAATTCCCCAAATTCTCAATTTTGTAATTGCTACACTTTTCAAAATACCCACAACTCATTCTTTTATAATTAGTTTTAAATATATATTCCATTTTAGTATGCACACCAAACTAAAGCAGCTAATAGCACCTTTACACATCATCAAAACATCTTTTGAAAAGCAAAAGATCTAATAAATAAGGATTATTCATTTACAATTAACGGCAACCCTCTCCAAATGGGACATGATTTTCTAATATTAAGACTACAGATAACTATAGAATACTTTAAAATGATGTATCTAAATTATTTACTGTATTTTGATGCAAAATTACTACTCAATGGAATGCAAAAAATAAGTTACTAAAAATTTAAAAAACTGTACATTGTGTAATCTCATGCCTGTAATTCCAGTACTTGGGTGGTATATGAAGGAAGAAATTATTATTTAAAGAGATAATTGCTTTTTAACACTACTGCACATAATTGCTTACAAATGTTCTTATTAGGTGACATTAGAAATACTAGAATGCCATTTATGTTATCTTAACATCTTTCCTGATACCTTTGGTGTATACACAATGTTTATTATACTATATTGTTGCTGTCCACTTATATCTTTCTTTACTTCCACGAAGGAAACAGATGTTACATATCTGTGCTATGACTGCCCTTTGCAGGTTCAGAGATGGGAATCATGAGATTTTTGTTTGTTGGGTGTTAGAGTGAAAGGGTGCCAGATATTAAGGAAATCACAAATTATCAGATTGTTTATTTGATCTCATTCCCTCTCACTTTAAAGGCATTAAAGAGGATGCCTTAAAGCTACCATTGTTGCCCTATAAACCTACCAAGACATCACTTTGCTCACTTTCTCTACTTCATAAAAATTGCCATTAGAAAGCTGCTTTGGGTGGACAACCTCCAATTCTTCTCCATCTCCTGTCTGAATGCTCCCTTTGCCTTACTACTCCACCAAAACAGCTACTACCAAGGCCACTAGGACTCCCACATTACTAACATGAACTCAGTTCAGACCATTTCACTTTTCTGATGTGTCTGCAGCATAGGTGGTGGATTATTCTTTCTCTGAAATACCTGCCCAACCAGGACTCAGTCTCTGCCTGGATTTACTCTCTTCTCTCTGTAAATTCACATGTATCATTCAGAGCAAAGCAAAGACACCCATTTCTTCTGTGACCTAAAACTTGTTAATTTCTTCTCCTGGGCCTTCATGATATACTAATTTTGTTCTAATAAGTATTTAGTTGCATGATTTATGTATTCATTTTAGGGGAATTAATATAAATTCATGGGCAAAAACACACTTCTTTGTTGTGGTGTATTTGTCTTGTGGTATCCACATAATCTGAATACTGCCTTAAATGCAGCAATTGCTTTGTACTTTTAAACATCTTGTTAAAAAGCAAAGCCTAAGTGTTTCCTTCATGCTCTGGACCACCAAGGCTCTAAATCATATCTTAGTTTTTGTATTTTCATAGTTTTATTCTTTTTCTGTCTTTCTCATTCATCCAAGGTAATATATCAACCCAGCCCACCCACTTCAATTGGAAACATTTTAAAAGATTTTTATTTATGTGTCTGTGTGAGAGCCTTCATTTGCATAAAGGTGGGTGTGCCCGTGGATGTTCGAACAGGGTACTGGGCCTTCTGGAACTTGAGATACAGGTTGTAGTGAGCATTCTACATTGGTGTTGGGACAGAGCTCAGGTCCTCTGGAAGAGCACAAGTGCTCTGAACCACTTTGTGCAAGAAAAAAAGCCAAAAGAGCTTTATAAAGCTGCTGGGTAGTCAAGTCAGAACTACAAGTCCTATTTCCTGATTTATCTTCTAAAAACACTTCCATGGGTAGCAAGTCTGTTGGAACACAAATGAGCTGCTTCCTTTTCCAATTTTATCATTGCCCCTTCTCTTCCTCCATGCACAAATCATTAAGTTTCAGGATAATAAAGTGCACCTGTGAAGCAATAGTCCTTTCATAGTTGGCAAAAGTTAAAAAAAAACCTGCAGTGAAACTCTCCAAAAGTCTGACATACTACTTAATTCTCACAGGAAAGATTTTTTTTAGAGTCTGAAAGTTACATATATACACATCTGTTCTAAATATTTTAGCCAATAGTTTGGTGAAAACGAGTATAGTAAGGAATGCTTAGGCTATAAGCTTCCTATATACACCCATCAAACCACTCACATACCAGACACAAAAATTACTTTCAGATGGTTGACTGCATTTCTAAGAAAACATCCTGGGGTTATTTAAGGTAGAGAACCACACATTTGAAGAGGAAGAAAAACTGAATTAAATGGAAAGTTAGTAATTTTTTGAAGGAGAATGAAAATGTATCTGAATCTAATAAAGTAAGAGTAAGTGCTTTAATCTTTAATGTTACAGCTAAAATGTTTGATTTTAGGTAAAAGATCTTGAGAAAAATTGACTTGTAAGTATTTCAATGGGTTGATTATTTCAGAATGGTTTATAATAACAATTATAAAGAATAAAAACCCAATATCAACTTTGAATTTGTTATGAAGTATATATATATATATATACATATATATATATGTTTCATTATTGAGAAACAAAAAACAATTGAGATATCTTTTCCAAAAATAAGTCACATTTCATTATGCCATGTTCAGTTGATATCCCTGGGAGGCCTGGGAAATGGATGAGCAGTGGCTCTGGGGGAGAGCGGAGGAGTGTGGAGCTGGAAAGAGTGGAGAGAGGAGAGGATGAGTTCTGGATGTATTGTATTGTTTTCCTACTGCTTTATAAAAGTGGTCTATACTTTAAATAGGGAATAATGTAAGCGAAGCAGTGTTAAAAATCGTATGGTTATTTTAATGCTAGATTACTATGTTATTTTTAAAATCAAATTACCTTTTATAAAGGTAGTTCTACCAAGAGAAGGGACGTGTGTGTGTGTGTGTGTGTGTGTGTGTGTGTGTGTGTGTGTATAATTAACATGAGTTTGTCATATAGTTAGATGAATCTGACAAGTCAGTATTTCTTATCTGAAATTTTGCTGTTGTGCAGCAACAATCATATGAGAGTTGTGAAAGGAATGAGGAAGCATTAGGATATTTTAAATACTAGGTGCCAGAAGAATTCTGGGCCCTCCTTTGAATATTGTAGAGCGCATAAAACAAGGTTTTAATAAAATACATCGGCCTCTTGCTAAAAACAGCTTTAATACAGACTTGAACAAGAA